AGAAACAGTCATTTATTAAGTGCCTGCCATGTAAATATCTCATTTTATCCTCACAACAGCCCTGGAAGACAGGTGCTACTACTTTCCCCATTTTGGAAACAAGAAAACTGAGGCTTAAGTGACTTGCCCCGGTTTGGAGGCCACATCTGAACTCGCATCTTCCTGACTCCAAGTTCAGTGCTCTTTCCACTGCATCCCCCCTCTTAAAATGCAGGGCCTAGGAATAGGCCATATAGTTGACTTATGTCAGGATTTTACTAAAATCATAAAAAATTATAGCTAAAAGGGATGTTACAGATTTTTTTAGTTGAGCTCCCATTTTATAGATAAGGGAAGAAGGGAGAAAGGAGGCTACAGAACACTGAGGCTTAAAGAGTATTATCTCCATCCAAGTCATAGAACTAGTTAGCAGAACATACCCTATGATGAAGTAATCACACCCAAGGTGGGATGCCAGGCCCAGGTGCATCAATGAGAGTGACTCAGGCAGCCACTGGAAGCAGCTGCTTCCAATCCCTTCTCAACACCACCACTAATCAACAGTAGGGCTATATAAGGCAATGTCAGAAGGCTGGCTTCTACTAGTAATGTTGAGATAGGCCCAATTAGCTCTGGAGAAGTTAGAGCATGCACATGGCACCCCAGAGGTAGAACTTGGCAGGTTAGGATTAGACCATGAATTCAGGAAACTTAAGGCCATTGCCTTCCCTTTCCATTCTCTTATCTGTGAATTAGAGCTATTCCCTGGAATTGCCTTCCATGTAACTCAGAGCTCAGGAGGCTGATCTTGTGTGTCTGTGTTAGGAGAAACAAGTATTGTCTTATGGGTCTGTGGGTTATGGGAGCAAGCTGAGGCTATGAACCAGGCTTTTCAGGTAACAAAAGAGAAACAGTCTGTGATATCCTGCTATTTAAGTTCAGTTATTTCAGTCATGTCTGACTCTTCATGACCACACTGCTTGGCAGATACTGGAGTGTTTTGCCATTTCCTTCTCCAGCTCATTTTACAGATGAGGAAGCTGAGGCAAACAGGGTTAAATGACTTGCCCAGGGTCACACAACTAGTAAGTGTCTGCAGCCAGATTTGAACTCATGAAGATGAGTCTTCCTGATCCCAGGCCCGACACCAACCACTGAGCTGCTCAGCTGCCCAATATCTAGTCAGGATTTACTAACCGGCAGGTTCCTGAGACACACTTATCTGAGATGTGGGCAATCTTTGACATGGATATGATAAATATTTATCAGGGAAGTGAAAATCTAATAAAAATGAAACTGACTACATCTTAACAAAGAGGAAGTAGCTGATGGGTTGTATGACATGATCACTGAAGTCCTTTCCAATACTCAAATGTCATTTTTTTTTTTTGCTTTTAGGCAATTGGGGTTAAGTTACTTGCCCAGGGTCACACAGCTAGGAAGTGTCAAGTGTTTGGTCTGAGGCCAGATTTGAACTCAGGTCCTCCTGACTTCAGGGCCGGTGCTCTATCCACTGCGCCACCTAGCTGCCCCATTCCAGTGTCATTTTGGATCAGCTATTTGTGTGCAATTAGTTCACTGACTTATCAGGGCAAATGTAAAAAAACAAACAAAAAATCCCCAAACAAAACCCCCCACCAAATTAAAAGAAAAGATAAAGATGAAATGGCTCCTCTCATAGCCTCCCGTTTTTAGAGGGCTCAAAATGCCTGCCACTTCTTCATTTGGGGTTTTAATTCCACCATCATCTACCATTCCCTACCCCCGCCCCCCCGCCCCTCGGTACTCTTGCCCCCTTTCAGCTAACTTGTGTGGACTGTCATCCCGCATGAGAGACTGTAAGCTCCTTGAAGGAATGGCTGTCTTTGATTTTTCTTATTTGTATCTCCACATTAATAAATGTGTATCATATTATACGTGTGATTTCAGCAGCTCCAACCTAACTTTGACAAACTGTCAACTTTCTAAGAAAAAACTTAAGACTAGGGGCACTAGGTGGTGCATTGGATAGAGCTCTGGCTTTGGAGTCAGGAGGATCTGAGTTCAAATGTGGCCTCAGATACTTGACACTTACTAGCTGTGTGACCCTGGGCAAGTCACTTCACCCTGATGGCCTCATGAAAAAGGAAATAGATTCTTTGGGGCAGCTAGGTGGCACAGTGGAGAGAGTACTGGCCCTGGATTCAGGAGGACCTGAGTTCAAATTTGGCCTCAGACTGACACATAACACTTACTAGCTGTGTGACCCTGGGCAAGTCACTTAACCCCGACTGCCTCATCAAAAATGGCAAAAAAAAAAAAAGAAAACATAAGAAAAAAGATATTGACTCAATCACCATTTCCTAAAGAAATGATACAAAACAGGTGCCACAACAAGGAGGCTAAAAGAGTACAAGAATCTCTTTAGCCATCAATCATTCACTCTCCTACCAAAGCAGAAAGATATGACATTCAGGAGCAAAAATAGCTCTACAATACACTCATTTGCTAAATGCTACAATGGAGGATCACTGAAGATTACAAGCATTATCACCTCATTGAACAGTGATAGGAATTTGAAGAAAAAGTAAGTCTAAGGAGAGACTGGCATGAGACCCAAAATGAGACCCAGCTTATCCTGAGAGGACCTACAGTCAAAAAGGGAGGAAGAAAAACATCCTGGCATAAAATGAAAAGAGATCTGATGGCAACATTTAACAGTGATCTTTCCTCATTGAAAACCACAGTGGAACAACTGTATTTGGAAGACGTGGCAATGGTGTGTAAGGAATGAGTTTGGGTAGAACTGCTGGATTGGAGATAATGCTATCCCTAGCCTCACTCTTTCCCACCTCTCCTAAATTTGTTTTTAAAAAAAGGAAAAAGAAAACCATTGTAATAAATATGCATAGTCAATCAAAATAAATTCCCACATCAGCTGTGTCCAAAACTGTTATTCTGGGTCTTGAGTCCATCACCTCTCAGTAAAGAGGTGAACAGCACGCTTCACCATTGGTCCTGTGGAATTGTGGTTGGTTACTGCATTGATAAAAGTTATTAAGTCTGAAAATATACTCTTTAGGTAGTCCTATGCACAGTTTGCTTTGGGCCTAAGACTCAATAGCAAGTTATTTTCCTTGCAGCATGCTAAGGTTTAAAATGAGACTTTGAGGCATCATTTTAATACAGTTACTTGAATGGGGAAAAAAGGCATGGTTAGTTCAATACTGCAGCAAATTGGATTGAAATGACTTTGTGTCCTCTTGGGTAATGGGAGAAAGATTCTGTTGATTGAAATTAAAGCTTTAAATAGCCATTTCAATAGCAGAACAAATAGTGGCAAGGTGAAGCAAAATAACAATACTTATATAGCATTTTATCTCACTTGATCTTCACAGTAACCCTAAGTGATGGAATATATTATTAGTCTCATTTTATAATGAAGCAATTAAGCCTCATTAAAAAAAAAAGAAGTGATTTTTTCCCTTTTCACATTTGCCCTAGTAAATGATAAATTAGAGAACTCAAACCCAGGTCTTTTGCCTATAAGGCTAAAACTTATTCCACTGTTCCTAAAACTGGGAAGGCAGGAAAATGTATCTTTGGGTAACAGGAAGGTAGTAGTTGTTACCAGTGCTGTGATAAGGACAAAAGTGTTTCTCCTTCTATGATGCTTTTTGTTATCCATAGCTCATAAAAGCAGTCAGCCTAGGCTTTTGGGTTGGTGTTCCTAAATTGGTCCATATGCTGTAGGAAGCACTGTGCAGAGAGGGCAAGAGACCATAGGAAGAGCCTGTAGTAGCAGTAGGACCATTTTGCAAATCTGGTTACCTTTGAGATTTTCCCTTTGTGACTGTTTCTGTTTCCTGGTGGTTCGTGTCCTTGCAGAGTCTTGTGCAGCAAACTTTGCTAAATGGCTAGAGCTTAAGGCCAAAGTGCCTTATTGATACATCAAAACCTCAACAGTATTGATGGCAGCATCATCTGACAATGTTTTCTGAGCTCTTGCCTATTTTCTCAGGCTTTCCTAGTTTGAGGATGGTATGTTCTAGAACAGGGATTCTTCTTAACCTTTTTTTGTTGTTAGGGATCCCTCGGGCAGTCTGGTGAAGCCTACTCCTTCTCAGAATATTGTTTTTGGAGCAGCTAGGTGGTGCTGTGGATAGAGTACCAGCCCTGGAGTCCGGAGGACCTGAGTTCAAATGTGACCTTAGACACTTGACACTCACTAGCTGTGTGCTCCTGGGCAAGTAACTTAACCCCAACTGCCTCACCAAAAAAAAAAAAAAGAATAATGTTTTTGAATGTATAAGATAAAATACAAAGGAAACTAATAATATTGAAACACAGTTATCAAAATATAAAAAAAAATTACAGAACTGCTGCCCTAGAAGTGAGCACAATGAGTAAACAATTAGAAACTTGAGAAGGAAGGCAGAGACAGACTAAAAATTTATAACAAACAGACACAGGAACTCCAAAAGCATGGCAGCCTGGGGTCAATTAGTCCTATGTACCTCAGTAAACCCTGAGTACATCATTGAACAATAGCACACAGCATGATATGATGATGATTCATTGTCGTGAAAAAAAAATGTTTAATGCTGTTCCAATATACTTTGGGTAACAAGGCAGAGAAGTGTATGATATGTTAAAGAGTTTTCTATTCAAACAACTTGTTAAAAAAACACTTGGGGGAAGCTAGGTGGCATAGTAGGTAGAGCACCAGCCCTGGAGTCAGGAGGACCTCAGTTCAAATCCAGCCTCAGACATATAACACTTACTAGCTGTGTAACTCGGGATAAGTCACTTAACCCCAACTGCCTCACAAACAACAAAAAAAAACCCTTTTGCTCTTGAAGGACATAAGCTTCAGTTTCATGGAAAAAATACATGCATTCCCTGACAATTTCACATAAAATGGTCCTATAAAAACTGAAGCCAAAATTAAATGTAGGAGTAAGGGGAAGTGGGGAGGGAGAAGACCACAGGTATTTTTTCTTTGGTTGAACAGTGTACAGTCTGTACATGAAACCACTTACCTGTGAATATTATCTTCAAGTTTTTTAACTCTGAATTCATCTTCCTCAGACTGTCGCTTTCTAGCTTCTTCCTCTTCTGCAGTACCAGCTGGCATTCCTTGTAGCAGCCATTTTTCTCGGAGTGCTTTGGACTGTGGGAATGAGGGAAGAGAAAGGTGTTGAGATGAATTTCTTAAACTCACCATTTTCTTTTTATCTCTAGAGAGGTGGAGTCTCATTTTCAGAATCCTCTTTGGAGTGGGAAATTTATAGAAATTTATAGCAGCTGCATGGCCTAAACCTCCAGGAAGACATTGAGGAGGGAAAAAAAAAATCTTTAATAGGACCTTGGAGACAGCTGTGTCCAGAGCTCAAAATTCACAGATGTTCATGTCGTGCTAATCCTCAAAGCTTTTGCTCTGGGACAGGGTTATTCTAACCATTCAGTCTTGTGATTGTATCAGATCTCCAGTCTGGTACATCGGTGAAAGCATTTCCTAGCCCTTGCTTCTCATAGAAATGGACGCCTGGCTCTTCAGGCTGGTTGGGTTTGTTAGGACTTGCTTTCTCAAGGTTTTCCTGAACTCACTGTCCAAGGTCATAGAGGTAATAAATAACCCGGCTGGGATTCAAAACTGGATCCACTACTCGTCCAGCACTTCTTCCGTAGTAGCATGCTTATTAAAAGTGGACATATGAAGTGAGGAGGTTGGGGTGGGGAAAAATTAAGCAAGCTGGTTAGAAGAGGGATGTTTGGTAAAATATTGAGAAAAGACTGTTAGTTACCAATGGATGTCTTTTATGCAATCCTGCTCCCTGGATTACACTATCCCCATCATTTTCTTCCCTTGAAACCTCTTTCCATTTGCTACACTCTTACTCTATCTGTCCTTGGTGCAATAGGCTTCCATCTCTACAAATATAAAGCAACTAGCACAATCATAAAAGTTTAAAACCTTATTTTGGATTGTCTTCCTTGAGTATGCAAGATGGAGAGAAAAGGAGAGAACCTGTCTTTAGAACATCCATGTACCATATGATTCTTTGCATAGTGACATACACATCCAAGTTATGTGCCTCATAGAGCATCAGCTGATTTAGATCAATGTACTATAGACAAAGTACCCCGTTGGAAATGAAGACTGGTGGGCATATGTACAGTTTTAAATGCATGTGTGCACACTCTTTTACCACTCCCTCTTTTTGTGGCAATGATTTCATTTTGAAGTGGCACCAATAAAATTCTCAGTTCAGAGAGACAGGAAATGATGATCTAATAAAAAGAAATGTAGATCTGTTTCTGTGAAGGCTGTTGGGAAGGTGTTTTGACATCATGAAGAAAAAAAAAACACAGTTGTTTTCTTCTTTTGGGGGCCTGTCAAGGGAAATTAACAATTCAGACACATTTAACTTCAAAGGCTTCCTTAACCCATTGCAGATTTATTTTTTTAATTTTACCAGGAGACTGACTGAGGCATCTGGAATATAACCACACTCAGGCATAGTGAATACGGGCAACCACTGACATAGCTTTTGGATGGTAAAAAGGGGAACAATTTTCAATTTGTATGGCTGTGTGTGTGTGTGTGTGTGTGTGTGTGTGTGTGTGTGTGTGTCCCAGCCTCAGTTATCCAGGTTTCAATGGATTTAAGCAATGATGAAAATGGTAAAAACAAAGGGTCGCGTTAAGCTCATCTTTCAATTTTTACAGACTTAAAAACCTTATAAAGTAAGTCTTTTCCAAAGAGCTCTCTAGATAATAAGTAAGATTGGAGCTAGGAAAGATTAGAGCTTTATATCAAACCATCTGCGTTTGTACAGCCCTGCCAGGTCCTTTCAAGGGAAATCAAGTCCATAAATCCACCAGAAAGAACTTAAAAACAGCATAAATTCATTTTAGAGAGGGCCATGGAATAGCTGCTTCCTCACTCCATGTGTCAATCCAACCTTGGATGGTGTGTGTGCCTATATGTACATGTATAAAAGAAAGAGAATAGGAAGTGTGTATGGGAGAGAGAGAGTGAAGGAGAAAGAAACAGAGACAGAAAGAGACAGAGAGACAGAGACATAGAATGGATTCCAGTAGGCCTTTGGTGACTCACTATAGGTTACTTTTTTTCCCCCTCAGTTAAGTCAAACACTATCCAGTTTGATGACCCATGAAGCCACACTTATATTAAGTACTGTTCTTAGAGTATGTGTAGAATGAGACATATTTCTTTTAACACAACCAATAAGGGATTTTTCTTTTGCTTTACTATGCATGGAATTTTTTTTTCTTTTTCCAATGAGGTGGACATGGGAGGAAGGGAGGGAGATAAAATAGATTTCTGCTCATTAAAAACATAAAACTTAATTAAAGAAAACCTCAAACCACCTTAGAACCTGAGCAGACTGAGAACCAGCACTTCCATGCCCCAAGGGTGCTCTTTAAAGAGCCTGTGCTTCTGTGGACTCAGAGACCAGGAGCTGAGTGCTAACTCAACCTAAAAGATTTTATAGGGGAGTCTCATCCCCTGCCACTATGTGGAGAGAGGCTATGTGACTAGTACCAGGTGTGAGTTTAGCACGGACTGAAAAACCTGAAAGAATTCCACACCACCCATACTCCCTATCCTACATCCCAAGCTTCCCTGTGCTTAGGTGAACCAGTTGTGAATACTAGTGCCACCAGCATCAGTGCCATATTCAGTCATTACAGGTCCCTGGCAGGTGGAGGCCCTGGTTCTGCAGTGGGCAAACTCTGAGCTCCTCTTCCTTTTAATCCTTTGATTCAGACTCTTCAGCTGCTGAGACAAAAAATGCCTTTCCCTTCCTGCTTCCCCCTGTATTTTCCTCCTCAGTCCTGTGGTCCACTGATCTCCCATTTTGTTGTGTCCTCCGTAACCCCAGCTCTATTGTTAATAAACTCTTCTTCATCTTCTTGTCTTTACCTCATGCTTTCCCCAATCCCCATTTTTTCAGCCAATGGCAACCTGGCTTCCCCTGGAAAACACTGCATCCTCAATCAACCAGTTAATCTCCCAATCCACAGACATTTCTGAAGTACTTATTATGCACTTAGCACTTACGTGCTAGGGATGTAAAAGACATAAATTTAACTGTCTTTGATAAGTTTATAGTCTACAGGAGGAGAAAACATGTTCTCACAAAAAGCAAATACAAATACATACATATATATGTGAATATATCTTAATATCTCTTTATATGGCTATATATATAAAAATATATAATATATATTCTTTAGCTGTCTTACTTTCAGGGGACAGCAAGTCCATAAATCCACCAGAAAGAACTTAGAAACAGCAGAAATTCATTGCAGAGACATATAAATGACATATAAATGTTTATACATCTATATGAATACTGATATCTATAGAAATCTATAGATAGATATCACTCTAGATATTATATATATGTCCCCTCTATGCCTTTCCATAAGCTGTCCTCATGTCTGGAATATACTTCTCTTTACCTTTATCTCTTAAAATTCCTAGCTTTCTTTTTGGCTTAGCTCCAGTGTGACCTCTTTCACAAAACCTCAGTTGATTCTCCCCAATTTTTGGTACTCAATCCCTCCTGAAATTGGACATTATTTATGTGTATGGATGTTATGTCTCCTCCCATTCCTGAATACAATGCAGAATATAAGCTCCTTAAGGGCAAGGATTGGTCTGTTTTTGCCTTTGTATCCCCACGGTCTAGCATGGTGGCTTGTGCCAAATGGGCACATAATGTTAACTGAGTTGAGTTGAATTGTTGTCAGTCATCAGAATGGAAGCTTTTATCCCAGTCAGATTCCAGAATATGTCATTCTTTTTATCTTCCCTACAACCTATGGTGCCAACCCTTACTTTCTTTCAGAAATGATTCTACTGGGTGGTAGAAAATGGTTTTTAAGCACTGACAGAAGAGTTTTTACTGCATGAGAACTCATTCATATATATCATCTGTATCTCAATTTCTCTGCTAAGCATGTCTTTATTCTTCCAGGATAGGGCTCTACTGTAAACCTTTTTTGTGAATCATTAAGGAGAGAATCTGTTATTTAGTCATTTATAGACCATACCCGGGAAGAGGAAAGATTTCATAATTTATGATTTAAAGACTAAACCATATGCACATTTGCTGTTAAGGGTGACTTGCATGAATATTTATCCACTTGAAAGTTTCTTTCCTGTGGGTCTAGTCTTAGCAGCTCTGACTTAATATGTAAATCCTGTCACAAAAGTTAAAGATATAATACATATCACCTTCCTAGGTAACTTCTAGAATTTATGAGAAAGTTTCATTGAAAGCATTCATTTCAAGGCTTAGGCTATTAACTGAGAACTATCTGAAGAATCATTGTGCACTCAGCCAATAATTATGTTACACTATATGATGGAGAACTTGATGATTCTACGAAGCATCTCTGGGTTCCTCAAAAGAAAGTGTTAGAAATCTTTAATTTGTTACATCATCTTTTGGTCCCATTTCAGTATAACTGATTGTTTGGAACACAGAAATGTTTCAGAACTTCAAAAGCTTTTCTAGATAAATGGTTTTTATTCTAAAAATTCAATGGAGCACACTGCTCCTTTCTTTATACAGGTAGGGGGATTATGGATATAGAATATTGCATGTATATGGCAGACCTGTTAGGATCACTTTGCTGAATTGCTTTTTTTTTCTCTTTCTTTTAAAATCTCTGTTACAAGGGATAGTGCCTTGGGTGCTGGGAAGAGAGATGCTCAGAAAAGCATAAGGTCCAATAACAAAAGGCATCAATAAAATTTAAATTGTAAAAAAATCAATGGAGCAAAAGACCTTACAAGGCCAATACCCCACCTGTCATCATTAAAAATAAAAAGCCTATTCACAACATGACTAATATGGAAATATGTTTTACATGATTGCACACAAAAAAACCTATTTCAAATTGTTTATTGTCTTAGGGAAGGGGGAGGTGGGAGAGGGAGGAAAAAAATCTGAAACTCAAAATTTTTTAAAAATTGCATTTAAAATAGTCATTACATGCAATTGGGAAATATTATTAAAAATAAAAACAAAACTGTTTTTAAAAAGCCTCACTCATATTGATAGAACTGCTTTTAATGAGGCACCAATGATATGGTTATCAGAATAAATCACAAGTAAATTACTATTTCAT